AGTTGCACAAGTTGTTAAAATATTCTGGATACAAGTCCTTTGATATATGTGCTGGGAATACTTTTTACCAATTGTGTCTTTCTTATACATATTCTTAATGAAATGGTGTCCATTTATAAGCAGACGGGTTTAATTATAATGAAGTCCACTGCATCCTTTGTTTCTTTTTACAATGACTGCTTTCTAGGTCCCGTCTAAGATATCTTTCATTGTCCCACATTTACAAACATATTGACCTATGTTTTCTTCTAGAACCTCTGTAGTTATAGCTTTTGCATTTAGGTCTTAGAATGTACCTACATTGGTTGGGCACAGTGGCTCACACCTGTAATCCAAGCACTTTGGAAGGCCAAGGCAGGAGGATTGCTTGAGCCCAGGAGTTTGAGACCAGCCTTAGCCTCAAAAAAAAAAAAAAAAAAATTCCGCGGGTGTGGTAGTGCATGCCTATTATCCTGGTTACTTGGGAGGTGGAGGTGGAAAGATTGCTTGAGCCCAGGAGATTGAGCCTGTGCTCCAGCCTGGGTGACAGAGCCAACTCCTGTCTCAAAGAAAAAAAAAAGAATGTACTTAATAAGTTATTGGTGTAAGGTCAGATACATTTGAAAAGACTTTCCTTTTGACATTGATTTTATTTAGAGTGTTGGTCAAAAAATGTTTGACTTTGTACCTGTGGGTCTGTAACGGGACTCCTCTGCAAATGTAGGGAAGGCTGCTGATCTGGGGCTCCCTCCTACCGTGTGTTTGATCTGACCCAGAAGTACGCGAAGTTAGCCGTCCTCAGAAAAGGAGGTAGTTTGGATTTGGAATCAAACCTGGTCATCTGAGTCAACGGGAAGGGCTGGTGGTGGACGCCAGGGCCCCTTGGGGGGAAGTGAGGGGGCCCTGATCCCATTGTGGGGTGAGGGACCTGCCCAGGCTCTGCCTCTGCCTGCCTCCAGGGTGCTGCTCCCGGAGAGGAGAGGAGGCCCCGGGGCCCTCAGAGCCTATTTAACCGGGGAGGGCGCATGCTGGCCTGCCTCCTAGGCCCCATCCTAGTTATCTGACTCCTCCAGGATGGGCTTGAGCCCCTCTTGGAGGGGGTCCTTCACCTCCTGGCCTCCTGTCTGGACGAAGCCCGCTAGCCCCCAGCCAGGACCTCTTGGGGCCGCCTGGACAGCACTGCCCATCTGGGCTGGGGAGGGGGCCCCGGGGGCTTGGTGAGCCCTGTCCGACCTAGACCTGCGAGGATTTCGGGGGCAGGATCCTGGTTGTCCTCTTCCTGGAGCTCCTCCACCTCCTCCTCCTCCTTCTCCTCCTCCTCCTTCTCCTCCTTGTCCACCTTTTCACCCTCCACTTTAGTGCTGGCTCTGGCACCAGCCTAGGCACCAGCCCAGGCACCCACCCATTCCTGTGTCTGGGCTCTCATGCTCCTGTCTAGACTGGCCTCCCATGCCTCAGACTCCCGAACGAGCCCTGGCATCTCCAGGAAACTTGGAGACCTCCCGGCCATTCTCAGCTTCCTCAGTGCTTTATCCAGAGGCTCAGTAAGGCTGGCTCTGGTGAGCATCTGCCTCAGGCGCACACGGTCAGCAGATGCTCTGGCCAGGGCCCCCCTCTCCATGGCCTTCTGCAGGAGAACTTCCAGCCACAAGGTGACAGCCAGGACAGGCTGGCCTGACTGTGCTGAGCGGTCAGACACTTCGCCCAGCTGATTGGGGGCAGGGGGTGGGGCTCATTGTCTCCAAACACCTGGACCAGGGCCGTCAGACAGTCCTGAGCCGCCGACCTGGTGGGGTTCTCTGCCAGGAGTGTGTGCACAAGCTGCAGTTCGGTCCCACGCAAGCCTTCCAGCAGCCTCCTCCTCCTCTCCCTTTCCAAGACCCCCTGCCACACGTGCAGCATGTCGGTGGTTTGGTCTAACCAGACCTCAAAGGACTCCTTCCCGGGGGGCTGCCTGGTCCCTTCCAGAAAACACGCCCAGGCTCTGGGACCTCAGGGTCTCCACCCAGGGCTGGACCGCCTGACTGACAGGTCGGAGCCAGCACACCCTGCATAGCCCCACACCCAGGGCCCAGGGCACCCGCCACACTCTCCACCATCTGCCCCTGTCGCTGCGGGAAGTGGAACACACGACCAAGAAACTCCTCGCCTGAGCAACGGGGCACACAGACCGCGTTCCACGGGCCCCCAGTGCCAGGGACTTCCCTGGGGACCAAAGCATAGCTGACGTCCCCTTCGAGCCTGACCAGGGCCGTGATGACATTATCCTCCTCTCGAAACACTTTGCCTAGCACCGTTAAGCGTCCCATAGGCCACAGGGCAGCCTCAAGGGACTCTTGGAATTCGGCATCATCACAGTCCTCCGGGATGCCCAGGATGAGTAGACCCCTGCGAGCGTTGACGCCCATCCAACTGCGCCAGGCCTGCAGCATCGCCGTCACCATGCCGGCAACCCTGGCCAGGGCCGGGCTGATACCAGGGCCAGGAGAGGGTTCCCTGCACGGACCACGGGGACACGGGGCGGCGGGGGCGTAATGGGGAAGAGTTGAGGTGGGAGCCTTGGACTGGGGGGGAACAGCCTAAGTCTCCACAGCCTGTGAATGCGAGCAGGCGAGACCGAGGTCAATGCCCACCCCTCCCCACTCCCACGCCCATGTCCACCTCCACGCCCTCCTACCCTGGCGGCAGCCAGGCCCCCCCCCGCCCCGCCCCCCCCCCAGGGGTCCCTGCTGGTCTCAGCCCCTTCTACTCGCTGCCCCCGGGCCCTGGACCCCTGCCTGGCAGGCTGCTTCAGATCTGTTGGGACGGGCAGGCAAGGGGCTGTGGAGTCTCCCGGGACCCAGTGTCCCGTCCCCCTCCCCGGGTGGGTCTGATATCTTTCCCCGGGGTAGGGTCCCTCTTGCTTGGGGTCCTCACAGGGCTGCACACGGAGCGGCAGAGACCGGGTCGGGCGCCCCCTCTCCCCCGGCTCCCCGCGCTGGCGTCCTCTCAGACTGTGCGTCTCCCTGGCTCGCTCTGCACGTGGGCCAGTGCGCCGGCGCCTGCTCGCGGCTGCTCTCTGCAGTGCGGATACCGGGCGGGGGCGCGGCGGCGGTGTAACGCGGACCCCTCCTTGTTGCCCGCCTGAGAGACCTCAAGGCCATTGGCGCGGGTGGATCACGCGGCAGGGCTCTCGCCGCTGACCCAGAAGCCCCAGGACCGCGGGTGATATCATCTACTCCTCTCCCCTAGCCCCCCGCCCCCCGCTACGGGTCTGGGCACACAGGCGCCCGCCCACCCCTACCCCCACCCCCACCGTGGTGGCCAAAGGTCTGTGGCGGCCGGTTCCGTGCCTTTGGCTCTCACCACAGCAGTTCCTGGTCCTGGCTCCTGACCCCCCCGCACGTGCTCCGGTGGCCCAGCAGGGCGAGGGTTCTGCAACCGCCCACTGCGGGGTGCCCACCAAAGGAACAGGGAGTGGTCTGACGTGGGCCAGGCAGCTCTAAGTTCTGGCCAAGGGGCAGAGAACCGGGTTCTGGGGCCTGTTCGCCTGCTCTTCTACTTCCCCTCCCCATCCAGGACTGGTCTTCTGGCTCACACAGCTCATACACACCACCCCACGGAGGGTCTGCCCTCTCCCCGCTGCCCATCCCGTTCCAGGGACCTGCAGCCCGCCAGCGCCAAAGCACTTCACTGCCCCGGTGCCTGGAGCCACCACCAAGGACGGTGACGCAGCACCCAAGCATGCCCGGGCCTTGTCCGTTTTGCAGCCGCAAGTCCCAAGTCTGGGTCTCTGCCTGAGTGTGTGACTGGAAAGGTAGTCCGAGGGGAGTGGGCTACTCAATTTGTCCCCTGCCCCTTGTGCCCTCACCAGCCTGATGGGCTCTGGGACATTGCTCCCTTGGCCCTAAGGGCAGCATGGGTGTTGTCCTTCCCTGGAGACCTCCGTCTGTCAGGCCTGAGTCAGCCTTCCATAGGTCCTTCCCCAGTCCTCTGCTGCCCAGGCCAGACACCACACCAGGGCAGAGCAGCCTTCACTCAAAGCAGAGATCCTGTACCTGACCTGTCACGGGAGTCTGGGGCCACGTGCACAGCATCTCCACCAGGCAGTTGGTAAGCAGGTTCCCACAGGGTCACACCTCTGGGTGTTGTTCCCTTGTCCCCTTCTCTTTCCTTGCCTGGCCTCCTGTTTGGCAACTTGCAGGCCAAGGTTTCCCCCAGGTGTCCAGCTCGTCCAAGCTCCTTGCTGAATCACAGCGGTAGAGTGTCTGTCTACGACCCTATGGATGGGCATTCAGGTCCTTCCCACCGTTTGGCTGTTGCAGACACTGCTGCCAGCGGCATCCCGCATGCTTGTCTGAGCCACCACCGTCAGTGAGACAGGCTCTGGGGTGCACAGCAGGCAGTGGCTCTGCTGGGACTTGGGCTACGCCCATCAACGCCACCACCCAGCATTGCTCGTCTGTGACCCCCAGTGCAAGGCTGAACCCCCGTTTCCTGGCACTGGCAGCTTGGGAGGGGTCCTGGGTTCCCACAGCCCAAATAGCCTTTGATCTTCTCCAGCCTCGCCCGCTTGCCCATCCCACGGGGAGAGACACCACCTTGTCATGGTGTGCCCTGCGTTTCCCCGATCAGTGGCGACGTCGTGTATCCCCTCACTGGCCGTTCCCAGTTCCTCTTCTGTGGATCTCCTTTGCTCCTTTCCTCCTCATCTAGCAGATGACTGTTGTCATTGGCCTGTTTCCAGAAGAAAGTTCCTAGTGTCAAGACGGAAGGCTTTCTCCTTGTGATATAAGACATGGCCAGTCTAACATGATGCCCAGAAGCAGGTCACATTGGAGTGAGCCTCACAGTTAGACTCTGGTTTGCCCGTATGGTTATGAATGGTTTCAGAATCAAGATGCAGTCAGTTGTGTTCAAACAAAGAAAAACCCAAAAACCTGACAAATGGAGCTGTGGAGGGCCACGGAGGCAGGGTTCCCATGCACGAATGCCTGATAACGAAAGCTATCACAGAAGACCGCAGAACCCACAAATTTGCACAAAGGCCATCGCCACCTGACACAAATGATACTTCCGTGAGGACACCTGCCCAGCAACTGCCTGTCCAAGCCCCTGACCAACACTCCCCTGGTTATTAATCCTCGTAGCCACAGACCACGATCGCGAAACAATTATGAAAGCCTCCTCCCTTTTCCTGAAACACCTTTGTCTTCCTTCACCTGCCTGAATATGCACACGGTTCACTAGGGCGCCCGCATCCCCTCTGTAATGCCTATTTCTGAATAGACACCATTTTCTTAGAGGAAGGCTCCCTCTCTGTGTGGCACTTAGGTTGACATCGTCTTGCTCCCCAGGCTTTTCTACCTCCCAGGTAGGAAACATGGGGTCAGCGAAGAAACGCCTGTCTATTGTCACAAAGCATCCTCCCCAGTTGGCCTCGTGTGTCCAGTCTCCCCCCCTCAACAATCCACCCCCCCGCTGCTTCTCCCCACAGAGAGTCTTCAGGCAAACTGTTGCTCTTCCCCTCTGCTGTGGGAGTGTCTGTCTATGGAACCTTTCGTGTTAGACTTGTGACGGCTTATAACACATATTCTCCTCTCTATTGTTTTCAGCTGTGATTTTTCTAGAATCCTTCTGCAGAGAGGGCACCGCCCACCCAGCCGCTCCCCGTCCCCCACCCTGGGAACATCTGTGGTCTGGTTTCGACAACTGGCCCAGCGGCACACAGGCTGACTCTCAATTCGTCTCCTGTTTTCAGCCTTGTCTCGTCCCACTCTCCTTCCTTCCTCACCTGCTGACTCCAAATCCATGATGCCCATTCCTCGCCCCCCCACCAGCCCTGGCCCAGGCTGGGCTGTCACACCTCAACTGTCTTTCTTTCATCAGTTCCCTTTCCCCACTGTCTCCACCTCTAAACAGTTGATGCTCCTTCCTTTTCAAAACCATTTCCTTTCTCAGCTTCTTCCTCTCCCCCACCCCACTTTTGGGCTGACCTCCTCCCCCTCTACCTGCCTCTCTGTCCTTGGGCCTTTGCTAGATCTCAGCTTGCTGGGGGTGGGCTCCCAGCCTCAACCCTGAGACATACGGCACCTCCGATGAATGCTCTGTCTCTGGACGTGACCTCTCTTCCAAGCTCCACACGTACCCATCAATCTGCCCACTTGGATGCCCTGCAGACATTTCAGAGCTAAGATGGTCAAACCGGAGGGCTTCGGCCCCTTCACCACGCCTACACCATCCCCAGGCTTCCTCCTTTGTACAGAGGGCTCTGCCTTCTACCTGGTGACTCAAACAAAGCAGCCAGGATTCTCTCCCCTCTCCTTTGTTCCTCACTCCCAAGTCTAACCCATCACTGGACTTTGTGGACTCTGGTCCAAGACTGCTACCCTTCTCAACTCTAGGGTCCTTGGCCCACCCTGTCTCTCCCTCTCCCTGCCTCCACTGCTTCCTCCCTGCTCCACCTACACCCACTCAGCAGTCAGGGCGATCTCTTTGCAACACCACCAGACCTTGCTTCTCCACGTGGCATCCCATCTCCTTAGAGTAATCTCAAATTCCCCATCCTGGTCAAGAGTACCCGAACCCCACGCCTGGGGGCCTGGCTCCTCCGATGCTCTTCTTCCCTCCCTGAAACCCACCCCATGTCGCCGGCCCCCAGCTCCTCTCACCACAGTCCTGCTGATCTGGCCCCGCGGCACAGGGCTTGTTCCCACCTTCAGCCTTTGCCATCCCTCCTTCCTTTGTGTGAGCCGCCAGGCCCCAAGAACCTTCGGTGGCAACAGCTTCCTCCTCCTTCTCTTCCATGTTTCAGCTGAACTGTCCCCTCCTCCCATAGGCCCCCTCTGCTGGGACACACAAATCGCACGCCTTCCATTTATATTCTTACTGGCAGCACTGCTACCTGTGTCGGCATGTGGGAAATGTTGGTCTGAGTCTTTGCTTTTGGGTATCAGGGGTTCCCTCCCCAGGTGGTGAGCCAGTGGCTCAGAAGGTGGGGCGGCTTTGCCTGTGTGTCTGGCCCATTTGTACTGCTATAGCAAGATACCTGAGACTTCGTAACATGCAGAGAACAGAAATTTATTGCTCCCAATTCTGGGGGCTGGGAAGCTGAAAGTCAAGGCATTGGAGACTGGGAAACTTACAAAGAAGAGAAATTTATTGTTCCCCATTCCAGAGGCTGGGAAGCCCAAGAGCAAGGCACTGGTAGGTTCAGCATCTGGTGGGGGATCAGTCTCTCCTTCCAGGATGGTGTCTGCGCTTGCGTCCTCACATGGTTGTGGGGAGGAAAGGGAAAAAAGGGGGCTACCTACAGCTTTCCAGCCTTTTACAAGGGACTCCTCTCATCCCGAGGACTCTGCTCTCATGGCCTCATCACCTCCTAAAGACCTCACTCCTTAACCCTGCCGCATCAGGGGTTAACTTGCCA